GCGCTCACGATACTTTCGATTCGTCACTTTTCCGTCGTAGAGTTCCCATTTTACAATTACGTGACTCAGCCTGGTGATAACGGAGAAAAGAGACAGATAGGACGTCGGGACGTCCTATCTGTCTCTTTTCTCCGTATATAAGTGATATAAGTCACAGTTACGATTTCACAGATTTGAGACAGCTTGGTAGCCCGAACGGCTCCAGGCTTTCGCCCGTGCACGCTAAGTGACTTTCATTACAAGCATTTAGCTTTCCGAAGTCTATGACAACAATTGTTTGGCGTTGACGGGCGCGAATTTCGTGCCTATAAGCTGCCTCGACTTGTTCGATTATGTTATCAACTCAATTTCATATTTATTTTCACATTTTCACTTCGCGGTCCTTCTCTGTTCTTTTTCCGTTAGGTAGTAGGTCATTTCATTGTTATCCACATTTGATATCATCATTTATCACATACTGCCACGACGCTCTTGTCTGTCCGCTACAACTGTCAAGAATTAACGTGATTGGTGAAGCGTAGTGACAGTGGGCCAATAGAGAGCAGGATCCTTGCCATAATGCGGTTTGCGCGCCAATTTTCGTACGTGCGTTAATCGAGCCGAATAATTTGGCCGAATATTCGGCTATTCGGCCACGCTCTTGGCCGAATATTCGGTATTCGGCCTAAGGCCGAATATACTATTCGTTACAACACTAGTATTTATATCTTTATTTATTTCAAAAACTTAACTATAAATGAGCAATTATTTATTGTGACATCGTCACAATGCATGGCTGCAATTTTTAATCATATTTTTAATTAATTTAATTTAAAATTTATGCTCTCCACCTCAAATTAGTAGTAGCTTGCCCCTGTGCATCATACTTTTCCTTTAACAATAGAGTCATGGCAGTCATCTATCTAACACCTTTTAGGAGAAAATTTTTGAATTGAAATAATACAACTTCTGGTTTGCATTGGAATTTGTATATAGTTAATCAATGCCTCCTGCCCCTAATGTTTCTGTATCTGATCTTGTCTTTCATCTATCTAACTCTGTTCTTGAGATTAAGGAAAGACAGACAGGCAGGCAGACACGTGACAGTGGAAATTCATAAGTCTATAATTTTTTTTTCAAATTTTAGCCCAATAAATTTACTGATTTCACTAGATTTTAGACTGATATTTGAATAATTCAAACTAATTAATTTTGTCTAATGTAGGTGAAATGATTTGTTAAAACATTAGTCTAAATACAGACTGAAAAATCTGATATTTTAGTGATTGATTATTGAAAATTGGGTTTGGTTTATTGTTTATATAGAATTTATTTTTTCTATTTTTAATTATGTTTTAAAGAATGTTTTAATATCAGATAATTTGAACTTTTAATGAAAAACTGAAGTTTTATGAAATAATTTTTGTTTTTGTTTTGGTACCCTTAAACTATGAGAGCATGATATAAATAAATATTTTAGCCACATTCTCCTTAAATAATTTGGTAGGCATATTTTACTCAGAATATTTTCATACTGTTTTACACAGATATTTTGAATTATTCTGATTGCAGTTGGTTGTTTAGAATCATTCTATTTAAAACTTAATTGATATAAGAGAAATTTAGAAGGAAAATATAATTTTAAAAGTTTTGCAACATTTTTTTTGTAATATTCTTTCAAGTTGAAAAATTATATTTTTTCCAGAAAATTAATAATAAGGGGTTTTTATTCTACATATTAACATATTTGAATAATTTTAACTTTTTATTCAAACTGTTAATATGAAACTCATATTTTAAAATCATTTTTTTAAAAATAGTTTTTAACTATAACTTTTCTGTTTTCAAAATATTCATCACAGAAAATATACATAATATTTTATTAATAAAATATTATTTATAAGGTATTAGGAAATTCAAATTAATATAAATCTATATATATAATTAAGACGAGTTGATAATAATAAGCGCAGAGCCCAAACAGTTAGGAGTTGAAAGTTGAAATTCGGTACACAGTTAGGGTATGTCACGAAAACGCACACTAAGAAGGGATTTTTCGAAATTCCTTCCCACGGGGGAGAGAGACAAGATTAAGGCTTAACACTTCCATCAATAATGTAAGATTTAAGTAACAATAAAAGTGTTAAGTAACAATAGAAGTTTTAAGTAACAATAGAATTGTTAAGAGAAAGCGACGTGCAAGATGCAGATACATTTTTTTTTCGTTTCTGCGGGAAATCGAACATATTTTTAGAACCATCTAAAAATTCTCTAATTAGTCTGGAAACAAGGGGACCCAATTCTTGCATTCTGTGACTGTAACGTAATAATCTTAATCATAGTTATGGTTACTTTTGCTTGAGCATAGCCGGGCCTACCTGCTAGTTTTCATATATTTTAAAAAATTTTATATGTTTAGGTTTTTTTTATTAATCTCCATTATGGTAGCAGATATTTAATTAATATATGAATTATTACTAATCTGTTTTGACATTAATCTTTAGTGATTTTATGAAATTATAGAATTTTTAAATTTAAATTAAGTGAAAATATGATATAAAGTGAATTATCTTATGTAATACAAATCTTTAAATTTTTTGATTCTCTTTAAAACTGATATGTATGTTAATGACTTGAAGTGAATTTTTATTATTAAAGTAAGAAATGTAAAGCAATGAATTACTATCAGTTAAGTTAAGCAGTTTCATTTTTAGAGCAGTGTTTCCTAAACTTTTTTCATTCGTGACCCCATTTATTATGTGGATTTTTTTATGACTCCAGGCCTGGTATTAAATATAAGATAAAGACATACAAATATTGCCCATAACTACTTTATTTATTTGCAAGCAAAAGAATATACATAATTATATATAAAAACTGGTTTTAGGATTTGTTTTAAGTATACAAATATTAATGAAAGTAAAGTACACTTTAATGATAATGAATAAAATCTGATTGTTTCTTCAAATTAAACTGTTTCAGTTTAATTTTTGCAACTCCATTTGGTGTCATGACCCATAGTTTACAAAGCCCTGCTTTAGAGTGTAATAAGTAACTAGCATTGTTATAATCTGTAATGTTTCTTACATAGAGAACTGTAACCACGAACATTACAGATTATAATTTAGTTAAAAGATATGTTGAGTATTCAAGTGTATTTTCTTTATTATAAGAGCCAACAGTGTGCACTTGTAAAATGCATCTAGGATATAATAGGGGTCATATTTTAAATTGATAGTAGAATTTATATTTAGAGTTATTAAATTATTAATGATTAAATATTATGTGAATTTTTATATGCAATTTTATATATATTAGGTTTATCATCTGGCTGGTGTTAGAATACGAGATCTCTGTGATAGATTAAATATCCTTGATGAAGATCTTAGAAGGAAAATCTGGACTTGTTTTGAATATTCATTAATGCAATATACAGAATTAATGTGTGATCGTCATTTGGATCAGTTAATTATGTGTGCAATTTATGTAATTTGCAAGGTAGAACTACTTAATTAAATAATGTAATTTTAAGAAATAAAAAATTATAAATTTACATTTATTAATAATGAATGATTGTTCATAATTTTTTAAAATCATTTCATTTCTTAACTGGTATGACACCATTCTTGTGGTATTTGACATATTTTGCAAATACAACTAATTAATTATTTTATTAATTTTATTAAAAATATTAAACAAAACAAAACTTCTACTTTACTAGAACTTCTAAAAAATAAACAAATATGCCCTTTTTAACCTTCTTAATTAATTTTAAGAAAATTAACTAACCAAGTAATATAATAACAAAGATCAATGTTGTTCTGATTTTATAAACATTTATTTTATTTGTTTAAAATTTAAGATGATGAATTATATTATCAATAAGATTTTTTACATTAAAATATTTGGAGTTACACTTATTCTAAATTTTTCTTTAGGTTGTATTTTTTTTTCTTATAATGAGTTTATACAAAATAAAGAAATCAGTAAATTATAAAATGGCTTGTGTCTGATGATCTTGTGTTTCTTTCAATTATTATAATATTTAGAAGAATTTTTAAGTAATAAAATTTTTAATAAGAATTTCCAATAATAAAAATTTGTTTTTAGGTTACAAGAGAAGACAAAAGTTTTCAAGAAATAATGAAATGTTATCGGCTTCAACCTCAAGCTGCAAGTCATGTAAGTAAAATGTTAAATAAATAATGCAAAACTTAAATATAAATAATTAGAATATTTATGATAAGTATTTAAATCTTAAAATAATTTGTGATTATAAATATAATATATTTTAAGTATTACTGTCATTCTTATTTTTTTATAATAGTTTAGATGGTGATTGGATTTTATTTGCTGGAATGTAAGAGTTGTTAGATACATAGTAATCAGCAGTGTAGTCCTTTTATGAGTTCAAGCTGTTCTTAAATATTCTTTCACTTTATTAGCAAACCAAGATCTTCACAAATAACTCAATTGATGATTGATTGTGAAGTAGTCATTCTCTGAGACAATGGTTTTTTTCTTTGCCATTTTGGCCACCATTTGATCAGCTTAATCAAAAATTTCATTAAGAAACTTCAGACTATGAGGCGTTAAATAAAATTAGAAGAAATATTTTAATCTTGCAAGCGCTTTCAACGTAAATATGTATGTCGTCTTCAGGCAATTCAAAATCCAATAGAGAATTCGAACAGAACATTTAAATTTAAACATTAACAATTTTAGCCGTTTTTGGAATATAACTATTACAAATAATATTTAAATTTTAAAATTAAATATTTAAAATTGGTACGCATGCATTTTAAACAAACAAAGACCGATTGGAATGGCTATTAATTATTTTGTAAATGCAAAAAATTGGCGCATGTGCTCTTTAACATGTATAACATAAAAGCCAATTGGAATGGCTATTAAGAACAAGTAAATTTTAGATTTTGAATTAAAAACGTTTTGTAAATGCATATAAAATTTTGGCACGCATGCACCTTAACATACAGCATAGAAGCCGATCAGAATAGAGCCATAAGTGCAAGTTTACATTGAAATTTTAAATATAAAATCGTGACATAACTTAAAATACATAAAACATGTGTAACATATAAAAATAAAACGCACATAAAAAGACTGACACGTATGCACCTTGATTCATATAGGAGGTGTGGGAAAAGAGTGTAGAATTATTGTTGATTTTTTAAATGCCTATATAAATTAATCCAGACGTCCGGTAAGTCGAGGGTAGGGGAGTTGCACAGGGAGAGCAGTTTTATGAAGATGGCCTCCCAAATATACATCAAGCTCCCTTCATCACAGCGTTTGAGTATTGCCACTCGATTCCAAAGCGCTATGTGGTGTTGTTGTATCACCAATTTGGAAAGTTCCGTGTTGCAATTGCCAAGTGCCACCGAACATTGGTGTTCAGATATGCGAGCAGCCAGCATTCCGGTAGTCGCTCCTATATAATTGGTGCATAGTCCTGATATTGGATTTTGCAGGGGAACGGAATATACACCAGATTTTTCCAGGGTGGAAATGGCATCTCTCTCATTACATAAGATTCGTCGCAGACATGGTGTGGGCTATAGGTAAACGAAAACCATTCTGCCTAAAGATTTGGCAGATCCGGGCCGTGAAGTGTCCACAGTATGGGAGTGAGGGACGAAGTGTTGTCCAATCCCTTGGTCTGCATAATGTGGTGGCAGGGAAGAGAGACTGCATAACTCTATTTTTAATATGGATGTATTTGGAGGAACTAAATCCCGCCGCATACACCGCTGTGCGGACAGTCTCCAGTTCAGTATTGATAAGTTGTGTCGATGGTAGTAAGAATGCCCATCTGATCAAGGGAGCTGTGGCCGCATTAACATATTGCTGTGGTTGACAGGCTGTGGCCGGTATTATGGGTGGGATATTGCCAAATTTGTGATAAACGGAAAACTCCAAGCCTTCCTGGGATTTGTGAATGTGCAAGTCCAAGAAAGCGATTCTTCTCCCAACTTCCTTCTCCCAAGTGAAGTGTATAGAGGTATACATTTTTGATAAGTGATGTTCTAATACCCGGAAGGAGTCTTCCGTATCCTGCCACGCCAAAATAATATCATCTACGTATCTTAAATAAATTAAGGGGTAAGCTATAGTGAGAGGGGCTTTAAAAACACTGTGTTCAACGTGCCGCATGATAAGTTCTGCCAATACAGCTGACAGTGGTGAGCCCATCGGCACCCCCTGCATTTTGTCTGCAGAAACAGGGGGTGCCGATGGGCTCACCACTGTCAGCTGTATTGGCAGAACTTATCATGCGGCGCGTTGAACACAGCGTTTTTAAAGCCCCTCTCACTATAGCTTACCCCTTAATTTATTTAAGATACGTAGATGATATTATTTTGGCGTGGCAGGATACGGAAGACTCCTTCCAGGTATTAGAACATCACTTATCAAAAATGTATACCTCTATACACTTCACTTGGGAGAAGGAAGTTGGGAGAAGAATCGCTTTCTTGGACTTGCACATTCACAAATCCCAGGAAGGCTTGGAGTTTTCCGTTTATCACAAGTTTGGCAATATCCCACCCATAATACCGGCCACAGCCTGTCAACCACAGCAATATGTTAATGCGGCCATAGCTCCCTTGATCAGACGGGCATTCTTACTACCATCGACACAACAACTTATCAATACCGAACTGGAAGCTGTCCGCACAG